GATCCCCTCAGGACTTCCAGCGACTTGTGTTTCTCTTCCATACAATCGCCGCCCTCGCAGGTTCCCGCAGACGTCTTTCCTTTGTAAACTTTTCTAAAATGTTTTTGTTTCTTTCTAACTTTTTCCTATCTGGTCCCCCTTCCCAATCCGCTCGTTCTTTTCATCCCCTCTTCTGTAGACAATGCTGTCACTCTGCCCGCTGACAGTCTGCTGTCATCTCTCTCACTATCATCTCCTGTTTCTCACGTCCGTCCTTCTCTCTTTCCAGTGGAATGGTCGCCGCAGACCCCCGGCCTCCTCGGCTGAGATTTGAGAGGGGACAAGCAGCGGAGATCCAGTAAGGTAAGCGAGAGTTTACTGCTGTTCACACCCTATGGAATGATCCCACCCTCGGGCTATAGTAAAAGATAACATTCATGCAACGACTCGTTGTCTCTCTGCAAAGCTTGGCCCGCTGCTGAATCTTTGTTTCCGGTGCAACCTTCGCTTTTAAATTCTTTTATCCTGAAAAATAAAACCAAAGACAAGCAAACCGAAGTTAGAAGTTGCTGCCGGTCAAAACGGGTTCACCATTCGTAGCGAGGATCGAGTCAGTAAAGTAATCGGGCTTGAATTTTTGACTTGCTTGAAGAGTTCCAGAGAGTCCGGCAACTGGGGAATCAATGCAAGCTGGATTCCATGTGCAGCCAATGATCCCTCAAAGGTTTTTTAAAGGGTTCTTCTTCTTGTCCTACTAGTGGCCTGACCAGTAGCTGTACCCAGACCCTAAATGACCCTCCAGTAGCAACAATCAGATGGACTTCAAAGCCTCCAATTTTCAGTTAGCTAGGGAGAAAGGGTTAAGGGAACAGGATACCAAAAACATATCGGGCCTTCTCGAGTCAGCAAAAAAATTGGCTGGTAGCTCTAATTTCTCTATTATCGGCCTCCCAGTAATATCAAAGTTTATGAAGGCTCTGTTTCAGTGTCAGCACCCCAAAATGGGTCAACTTATTGGGGGCCCTTGATTCTTCAGCAGCCTCCGAATGACAGTGGATCCTGTAGGTACCTCTTTTGGTGCTCCTAGATCCTGCACTAACAGTCTCCCAATAAGAATTGGACTTCAGACCCCCTCCAAGTGGTCACAGATATCTTAAAGAACTGAAGAATGGTGTCTCAATGCAATGTCCATCCGGCAGTTCCCCTGGACGTTGTTCTGCATAGTTAGACTCCTCTGAAGATGCTCAACAAAATCTCCCTGGTTCTTTAGTTCCTAACACAGGCCAGTTCCTTAGGCCCAGGCCCCAGACAAAGAGCCTTCTTACACTTACATCTTACACTTACAGTCTGGACCTTGCTAAACATAGATCCTCACCAGGCAAAGCCTAAGAGGCAAGCATCCTTCCAGAAGCCATCTCCAAATATTTACCCTCTTCCCACCTACATCACTGGCATTAACTCATCAGTGGTTAGCCAGGGCTGAATATATATTCATAGCCCCATAAATTGTACCTTCTCAGACTATCTACTGGAGAACACTCCGCAGGGGCAGGCAGAAGCAAACAATGTCCTTGGGATTAAGGAGAAACCTAACGAACCTAACTTCTTCTCATGGTCAGCTGAAGGCGACCAACAAGTACTGGGTAGTGTTCTTACACATAGTGGGTAGTCCCAAACCCAAAGGGCTAACTGGGCACCCCCAGGAGGCACTAGACACAGCAGACTTTCTGACTTTCCAGCCTATGAGCAGACCTGTTCAAATCAGGAGGTACTGGGACCCTGCGGACACTAGGGAAGGTGATGGCCATGGATGGATGCAAAATTCAGTTTGCTTCCCATGGTTAGAACTATTTGGGACCCCCATCAACTAAGACAGGGTACTCTACAGCCAACTCTTCCTACCATAAGACCAGAACAGTAGCACAGTTTTTTTTTTTAAGCCCACGGTACAACAAACACCAAAGTGAACATAAAAGTGCACCAAGGTGTGTCAGCTGGTCCATCTCCCAAAGACATAGCGCTCTTCCCTAAGCTTTCCTGAGAGGGAAAGGTACTCGTGTCCATCTGGCCGAAACTAGGCAGACCCATTGCTCATGGTCAGCCAAAGCTGACCACCAAGTACTAGGTTGGGGGCTCTCCCTTGCGGCCCTGCAAAAAAATCACCCCTGGATTCAGCCAAAAGGCCTAGCCCAAGAGGCAAGGTGCAGAAAAAGCAAAAGGTGTCACGACCAACGTGCCATTCACACTAGTGGGTACCCAAACCCATAGGTGCTACTCAGGCACGCCCAGTGAACAGTTCCGGGGGGACACGTGACACCGCAGGCTCCCTGCTGTTCCCAGCCCATGACCAGATCAGAAAGCCCCATTCAAATCAGGAGGTACTGGGCTCTCCCAGATCCCAGACACTAGGGAAATACTCCAGACCCCACTCTTACATGGGTGTACAATATTTTTTGGTTTCCTTAACCCCAGCCAGGATCCTTCGGAACCCCCATCATCTCAGGCAGGGTACACTGCAGGCAGCCATACCTACCAAAAAGCCAAAACAAGGACACATTTCCCCTCCTAAACACCGATCCCTGCAAGTACAACTCCTGCTTTAGGAGGACCCTTGGGGGAAATGTAATCTCGGTCAACAAGAATCAAACTCCATCTAGAAGTTATGGAGACTTCTTATTTCACCTGCATAGCATTATGGTCACTGTCTCATTTGCATATTCCAGTACAAATTTTGATTTTTCACTGTTCCCTCTCTGATTTGTATATTTTCTCATCAATATGAATGTTCTGCCGTCATTCACCCATTGCCGTCATTCACCCAATTGGTGGATTTAATAGCCCTGATTTGCATATTTGTTGCAGTGACTTGCCCACCCAAGACCCCTGTTTCTCCTGGAAAGTCCTGTATGTTTTGTTGGGGGGAGGGAGGGGGGGGCGTGCTCCCAGTGACCCGTCCCATGAATTGTGTGATTCTCTGCCGATTTAAATAAATCTGCATGTATATATTTAGGAAGATCTCAAAATGGCCTCGGGGAGGACCGCTGATCTCAGGCCAGCGCTACATAGGGCCTCATCTTCCGGCCAAGTCAGTACTTAGCATTGGTGTAATTTAATAGTGTAATGCTAGCACCTCAGCGGCCAGTAGGAGCTCAGGTATTGGAGTGGTAAATGTTGGGGGGCGGTGCTTGGTAGTGATTTGGAAAAAAAGTCATGGTGCTGTGTACAGCCCAGGCCTATGAATCTGGATCCTCCCCATTGAAGAATGATTCAGACTATTCCTCCCAGGCCTTTGTAATGTACACAGCGGGCTGTTTGGCCCCGTGATATGAACAGGGCCCATTTGTTAACCCAAAATATGCCAGATTGCTGGTCATGGTCTTAAATGGGTTTCAACGCAAAGACCACCAATTGCAAGGCTGACCCCAGCCTGCTACGAAGACCTCAGATCTTCTCTAGATGAAGAGGAGTCTGATTATCTGCTGTGTATGATTTATGGTTTGAGTCCGGGAGAGGGGGGGGGGGAGACTGGCAGACAAAGGGGCTCTTATGGGGAGATAATTACAGGTACTAACCCAGGTCTCTCTTCCAGGGTGTCCGGACCTTTCATTACATTCCTGGGATGTTACATGACCGGTCCTCAGAGATGGTACAGAAAGACGGTGAGTTACAGATCGTTTAATTCCCCCCCCTGCCAACAACAGCAACAACATTCCTCAGGGCGGGTTTCCTGATGATGACAACCGCGGACCATGTCTGTGTTATGTGTGCTGAGAAGGCCACTTGTAGTCTCCATCAGAAGTCCTTGGGAAAAGGGTGACACTGCAGGGGAGCAATTCAGAGATGGGGCGGAGCGTTGTCACCCTACAGCAGGAAGTGCCTGAACAAGGACCCTCATGGCAGGGTCACCAAGGGTTATTCTAATGAAAGCTGCAGAATGTTCTGTTTGGGGTGAGATATATTCCGGTATTGTATTTCCTGATCCCTATCATCTTTCTTGTGCCTCCTTCTGCTGCCAGCGAGTAAAGGTTGCCACTGGACCCCACTGAGGATTCTGGGAATGATTGTCTGTATTTTCATCTCATTGGCTGGAATTGGAGTCACAATTTGGGCAGTGGGTAAGACTAGGCCTTCTTTTATTTTTAATCTTATATTATTATTATTATTTTGAGTTTATTATTTTCAATCCTAAAGGAAATATAAAGTGTTTTTCTGCATATTTTATTTTTAAAAATCACGGTTCTGTTTATAAACAATTCGCAGAGCCGATCACCCTCCAAATCTCTATGAACATTCATTCTGTGTGAATAAAGGAAAAAACAAAAGTTCTTTGTATATTTTCAGGTTGAATGTAATGTAATACTGCATTATGGCCACTGGATGGAGCTAAGTATTTCCTACACACCTCAGCTCCATCTAGTGGCCATGAGGAGGTATTTCATTACACCTCAGCTCCATCTAGTGGCCATAAGGAGGTATTACATTACACCTCAGCTTCATCTAGTGGCCATAAGGAGGTATTACATTACACCTCAGCTTCATCTAGTGGCCATAAGGAGGTATTACATCACACCTCAGCTCCGTCTAGTGGCTATATGGAGGTATTACATTACAGCTCAGCTTCATCTAGTGGCCTTAAGGTGGTATTACATCACACCTCAGCTCCGTCTAGTGGCTATATGGAGATTTTACATTACATCTCACCTGCATCAGTGGCCATAAGGAGGTATTTAATTACATCTCAGCTTCATCTAGTGGCCATAAAGAGGTATTACATCACACCTCAGCTGCATCTAGTGGCTATATGGAGGTTTTACATTACATCTCAGCTGCATCTAGTGGCCATAAGAAGGTATTACATTACACCTCACCTCCAATTTACTGGCCATATGGTGGTATTACATTACACCTCAGCTCCATCTAGTGGCCATAAGGAGGTATTACATTACACCTCAGCTCCATCTAGTGGCCAAAAGGCAGTATAACATTACACCTCAGCTCCATCTAGTGGCCAAAAGGCGGTATTACATTACAACTCCGCTCCATCTAGTGGCCATAAAGTGGTATTACAGTACAGTTCACTTCCATCTACAGGCCATAAGGTGGTATTACATTACACCTCAGCTCCACCTAGTGGCCATAAGGTGGTATTACATTACACACCAGCTCCCTCTAGTGGTTAATTGGCAAATCTCTATATTTCATATAATAAAACACATATGGATGAGCAAAAATGTATTAAATATCAAAGTCTTATCAATAAAGACTTTCAATAAGCTTTTCCATCTGAGCACAGTATTGGAGGCTGCTGGATTTTTGGAGCCCCCATTAGAGGGAGAAACACAATAAAACGTCCACATGATTAATATGTGAACGTCAGTGATTGGGTTACAATAAAACCGTTGGCATTTCTCACATCTGAGTCCTATGTAATACCGCTCGGGCACTGCTCACCTCTTCTGTTTGTTTTACAGTGACGTATGTTCTGAAGAACGGGACATCAAGCATCTACATAGGTAGGTCCTCCCCCTGGGAGGGGTGTCTGTGTTCCCCATTATAAAAATGTATTTACATTTCTTTCTACCCCAAATTTGTAATAATGACCCTGAATGCTCTAGAAACAGAAAAAGGTCAGTGAATGTGTTTGTTAAAGATGTCTTATGCACGTGAATGCCAGAGGGTTATATTTACAGAACCCCGTCATCCTGTGAGTATCTGTGAATGGTCATTTTGATCGCATAATGCCAAAAACTAATGTTCTTAATATTTTTTTTCCCCTCAGTTTGAATGTCATGTGTTGTAAGAATACATTGGAGCTGGGGAGCATCGGAAATACACTATATTACCAAAAGTATTGGGCCCCTCCCCCTCCAAATCATTGGATTCAGGTGTACGTAATATAATGTACGTATTTGCCCAAAATGACTGTTTACAGATATTTTCCCCACTTGCAGGGGAACCTCAGATTGGACAGGACACAGGACTCTGATAGCAATGCGCTGTCTCTGGTATTCACCAGCCTTGCTTCTGTGTTGTCTCAGTTCAGGTGAATTCTCCAGATCACAGGCTCACCGTGTATGACGACAAAGACCAGACCTGGCGACTGGTTTGCTCGTCCGCCGCCAATGCTGCTGTGGCCACGCTAAGCTGTGAAGAGATGGGATTCATTAGGTAATGGACTCTGCTCCTTCCTCTATAACTCTCCTCTCCTGGAATACTCTGCTCTGCTGGAGGACTCTGCTCCTTCCTCTATACCTCTCCTCTCCTGTAATACTCTGCTCTGCTGGAGGACTCTGCTCTGCTGGAGGACTCTGCTCCTTTCTCTATAACTCTCCTCTCCTGGAAGACTCTGCTCCCTCCTCCATAACTCTCCTCTCCTGATATACTCTGATCTGCTGGAGGACTCTGCTCCTTCCTCTATACCTCTCCTCTCCTGTAATACTCTGCTCTGCTGGAGGACTCTGCTCCTTCCTCTATACCTCTCCTCTCCTGTAATACTCTGCTCTGCTGGAGGACTCTGCTCCTTCCTCTATACCTCTCCTCTCCTGTAATACTCTGCTCTGCTGGAGGACTCTGCTCTGCTGGAGGACTCTGCTCCTTTCTCTATAACTCTCCTCTCCTGGAAGACTCTGCTCCCTCCTCCATAACTCTCCTCTCCTGATATACTCTGATCTGCTGGAGGACTCTGCTCCTTCCTCTATACCTCTCCTCTCCTGATATACTCTGCTCTGCTGGAGGACTCTGCTCTGCTGGAGGACTCTGCTCCTTCCTCTATACCTCTCCTCTCCTGATATACTCTGCTCTGCTGGAGGACTCTGCTCTGCTGGAGGACTCTGCTCCTTCCTCTATACCTCTCCTCTCCTGATATACTCTGCTCTGCTGGAGGACTCTGCTCTGCTGGAGGACTCTGCTCCTTCCTCTATACCTCTCCTCTCCTGATATACTCTGCTCTGCTGGAGGACTCTGCTCTGCTGGAGGACTCTGCTCCTTCCTCTATACCTCTCCTCTCCTGATATACTCTGCTCTGCTGGAGGACTCTGCTCTGCTGGAGGACTCTGCTCCTTCCTCTATAACTCTCCTCTCCTGAAATACTCTGCTCTGCTGGAGAACTCTGCTCCCTCCTCCATAACTCTCCTCTCCTGACATACTCTGCTCTGCTGGAGGACTCTGCTCCTTCCTCTATAACTCTCCTCTCCTGATATACTCTGCTCTGCTGGAGGACTCTGCTCCTTCCTCTATAACTCTCCTCTCCTGAAATACTTTGCTGGAGGGACTCTGCTCCTTCCTCTGTCTAACTCTTAACCGGTGTCACAGTAACCTTCATGCCTCTGTATTGTGTTATTAGGTCTATGAGTTATCAGGAGCTTCGAGTGGAGACAGCAGGAGCCAATGGCACGTCAGGATATTTTTGCGTCCGGGAATCGCAGATGACAAGCGCCAAAAGACTTCTAGAGGTTCTTACAGTCTGGTGAGTCTCTGCCGGTGACTTCAGGACCAAAACACAAACCCGGATTCAAAGTAGCAAAATTAGATATTGGAGCATCACAAAAGCTTCACCACCCCGGGTAGGAGGAAGCCGTACTAGCTTTGTATGGAAGTATGGGGAATTTTCATGCTGTGAATCTAAAACACAGACATTGGCAGATCTGTTCATTCTGAGAACATTTAATAAATCCCCCCTCCCCCCCATAGTGTGTGCAAAATTAATTTATTAATTGCAAATCTTGTCCACTAAGTGAATGTCATCACTCCCAATGACTTACCTCCTTTGCTTCCTTCCTCAGCGAGTGTCCGAGTGGGAGATTTCTCTCTGTCCAGTGTCAGGGTAAGTGTTGTACTGAGGGTTCCACTTGTCTCCCCTTTCTTTCCACTTTGACCCCCCCCCCTTCCCCACTTCAAATTCTCTCTCTCCTGTATCTTTCTTCTCTGCTCCTTCTTCTCTTCTCTCCTCTCCCCATGTTCGCTCTTCTCTTCTCCTTCTCATCTCATATCTCCTCTCTTCTTCTTTTCCTTACTTGTCTCCTCCTCCCCTCTCCTCTTCTCTCTTTACTTGCTTCCTTTTCACCTCTCCTCTTTCCTCCTTACTTGTCTTCACCTCACCTCTTTTCTCCATTACCTGTCGCCTCCCCACCTCTCCTCGCCTCTCCTCTTCCTTGTCTCCTCCTCACCTCTCCTCTTACTTGTCTTCTCCTCTCCTCTCCTCTTACTTGTCTCCTCCTCACCTCTCCTCTTACTTGTCTTCTCCTCTCCTCTCCTCTTACTTGTCTCCTCCTCACCTCTCCTCTTACTTGTCTTCTCCTCTCCTCTCCTCTTACTTGTCTCCTCCTCACCTCTCCTCTTACTTGTCTCCTCCTCTCCTCTCCTCTTACTTGTCTCCTCCTCACCTCTCCTCTTACTTGTCTTCTCCTCACCTCTCCTCTTACTTGTCTCCTCCTCACCTCTCCTCTTACTTGTCTCCTCCTCACCTCTCCTCTTACTTGTCTCCTTTTTTCTCCTCTCCTTACCTTTCCGCTCCTTTTTTCTCATCTTGTCTCCTCTCCTCACCTCTATTCTTCTTTCCTCGCCTCTCCTTTCCTTTTTCTGTCCTTTCCTCACTTGTTTTCTACTTTTCATCCACTTTTCCTATATTGCTTTTAAACTTTCTTTACAACTTCCGTTCTCCCCTCTATGTCATCTCTGCTCAACTCTGTTTCCCCCTCTGCTCTCTTCCTCTGCCCTCCACTCTTCCCTTCTCCTCTCCTCTCCTCTCCTGACCTTCACTCTTTGCTCCACTGTCTCCCTTCCTTCTTCTGTCTTTTCCTCTCCGTCCCCTTTGCTTCAAGATCTCCTCCTTTCTGCTCTTACTCTTCTCTTCTATAACTTTTCTTTTCTTATGACCTCTTCTGTCCTCTCTGCTCTAACTCCTCTTCCCCCTCCTCTGCATCTTCTCCTTTTCTTATGTCTGCAAGTCTTCTCTGCTCCAGTTCTCAGTCCCCCCCCGCCCCCCCATGTCTCCTCAGACTGCGGTCGCAGGAAGATGGCAGTGGACCGAATTGTGGGAGGACAGAATGCCGCTCTGGGCCGCTGGCCATGGCAGGTCAGCCTACGTTACGATGGAGCCCATTTGTGCGGCGGCTCCCTGATCTCCAGCGAGTGGGTCCTCACAGCTGCCCATTGTTTCCCCGAGTGAGTATTCAGTGTGAGCGGCCTGACAATGCTCGGGGTCAAACCCGAACGCGGATGATGGATGGACTGATCATGTGACCCAAATTACCACTTTAAGGGATCATTAAGCCCTTAAAATTACCACTTTAAGGGCTTATTGACCGCCCGGGAAGCCGGCACTACATGTTGTTTGGCCAGCTGGATTGCAATTGGCCGGGAAACCGGCTTCCCAGCCAATCAGCATCGAGCCAGCTTCCCGGTCAATCGGCAAGCCAGGCGGCAAGTAATGACCCATCTCCCGGCTTCCTGATTGGCCGGTAAGCTGGCTCCATACTGATCCCACCCAATCAGCATCGAGCCAGCTGTTCAACTGACTCGATGCTGATTGGCCCGGGAAGCTGGTTTCCCAGCCAATCAGCAAGGACACGACTGTTCGGCCGGCTCGATGATGATTAGCCAGGAGGCTGGCTTCCCTGCTGTTCGGCCAGCTCAATGCTGATTGGCCAGAAAGCCGGCTCCACAGCCAATCAGCATGGAGCCGGCTTCCCGGCCAATCAGTAAGCCGGGAGGCGGGTCATTACTCGCCACCCGGCTTCCTGATTGCCCAGGAAGCCAGCTCCATGTTCCCCTACGGCACTGCCGGTCAGAGGAAATTTTTCTCTGACTGGAAGTTCCAGTATCGGGGACGGTATCGGAGCATTTGGGTGAGTACGAGTAAGTACTCGGTATCGGCACCAATACTAGTATCTAATAATGTACAGGAGTTACATTGTTTGTAGCAGCGAACTGCAGACATTGCGGCATCCTCGGAGATGCAGACCGGTCACACTTAATGGTACACAGATAGCTCTAAGTGGGGGTATCTGTTTTTTAAATATAAAAAGGGAAATATGGAACAGCAATTGTAATTGAAAGCAATTCTCCTTTAAGCTAACGGAACCATTTGTATCTGTGCAGGAGAAACCGCGTAGTGAGTCTGTGGCGGGTGTTCGCTGGGGGCGTGTCACAGAGCTCCACCGGGGGGCATCTAATGGGCGTGAAGGGCGTTATATACCACTCTGGCTACTTACCTTTCATCTACCCGGACAGTGAAGAGAACAGCAATGACATAGCGCTGGTGCACCTGCTGACCCCCTTCACCCTCACAGGTAATTACCTTGGATTTCACCTGAATATATTTATTGTGATATCATTTATATACTAATACCGTGAACGGTTTCACCAGAATACGTGCAGCCGGTTTGCCTTCCGGCATTGGGCCAGCAGATCACGGATGGGAAGGTTTGTACGGTCACCGGATGGGGTAACACACAGTACTACGGTGAGTATCGTCTGTGTCGGGGTTTCCCAGCCCCCCGGATCCCCCCTGAAATATGACTTTTGGGGGGATTTTGTTTGATATGTGCTGTATCTGCCTCCTCAGGTCAGCAGTCTGACACCCTGCAAGAGGCCTCGGTGCCCATTATCAGCATCTCGGTGTGCAACCAGCCGGAATACTACGACAACCAGATCACGGGGAAGATGTTCTGCGCGGGATACCAAGAAGGCGGGATTGACGCTTGTCAGGTGACTGGGTTCCTTCCGAGGGATTGGTGGGGTCTAGATCAGAATTTCTCAACCAGGTCGCTGTCTGGTTTTGTCTGGGGGGGCTTAAATTTTACCATTATGTCATGTATTACCATGGTGCA